TGTGTAAATGTAGAATTCTCAATTGTTAAAAAATATGTTGTATAATTACATGTTGACACATGTCAATATTTAATTTCCCTGATGAACTAGGGAACAAGGCAAACAACAAATGAGCTGGTTATAAGTTGTTACAAGTTTTAACTTATAAATTACAAGCCTTGGGGCTGGAGAGATGCTCAGGGGTTAAGAGCATATATTGCTCTTGCAGAACCCAGGTTGGTTCCCAGCACCCATGTTGGGAGGTTCACAGCTGCCTGTAACTCCAGCTTCAGGAGTTCTGACACTCTCTTCTGCCCTGCCCCCTAGGCACATGCACCGACACGTACACATAAATGAAAATAATATAACTCTCTAAAAAAAAGTATATCAGCCTTAATCTTTTGTGGAAGAAGAGATATAAAACTGATATCAGGTCTTGGACGGGTAACGTTGGCACAGAGCAATAAAGCTGTATCTTTTTCCAAAGCAGAAAACCTGCCACAAATGTTGTCTTTCACAAGGTGACCTCTCACCCCTATAGAAATCTCTAGCTCTGCAGGGATATAAACTTTTGGTTTCTAATCAGCTGTGGATGGTCTGTCAGAAGAGCGTTTCCCGAGAGAGGCCCCTCAGTTGATTTTTATCAGAAATGTTCTATTAAAATGTCATGCAATCCCCATTTTGCTTTATTTCCAAGTTCTGGATCTTTTTCTTGCACATTTGACATAAATATAACTAACCTTACAAATAAACTCAATAAAAACAAAAGGGTATTATCAAGTCCTGACTAAACACTGTTCTGTTGGCCTGCTCTGACCTGAGGACTTCCCCCTATAAAAAGGGAGGGCGGGGTGAGGTTTGCATGAACAAGAGTGGCATGAAAGACACATTTACCCCAGAGGGAGATTTTCTCAGTTGGTTTCATCAGAATGGTTGAGAGAAAAAGAATTAAGGGGGCACACCTTTCCTATAATTGGATTGGGGCTGTGATTCGGTGCTTGTTCATGTATTATTATTTAAGCTCATCTCAGAGGTGGTATGATTTATTATTGTTGTGGAAATTCTGTTTTGTATTTCAAAAACCGAGGGCTTAGGGTGAATCATGAAAATGGTTCCCCACTTCAGCCCATCCACCTCTGGCTCTCCTCTGACTGGGCTTGTACACGAGGCATCATTTAGAGCCCCTTCCAGATATCATAGCCTATAATTATTAAAAGAAAAAAAATCACTGCAATTTGCAGTGTGTTTAGGTTGGATGGATTAATTTCTTTGCCAGGGCCATAATGGGAAGACTGATTTTGTCATTTCAATTACAAGCCACCGTTTAGTTAGGGCCTGGAAGACACTTTTGTTGAGTTTCCCTCCGCTTGCCTGGCACTGGAGCAATTAACAGTGGGTGATTTGTGGCTACACTTTTACTGCCTAGCACAGGTTTATCATCTTGAAAGTTTTCCATTTGCATATATGCTATACATTCTTTGGGTGACATTTCCATATCACCCAGCATTAGTACACATTGCCTCGCACTGCACTCTCTCCTACGTGCAGGGAATCTGCAAGCTTGGCCAGAATGCTGATGAACAAGGGAACTGTGAGTTGCAGCTGCCATTCACTGTGGGTTGATGTGCCATTCTGGGAATGGAGGGCTTTCCATCAGTCCCTAACTGCTTAGTTAGCACCTCAAACCACTGCTTAGTTAGCACTTAACCACTAACCTCCAAGTTTCCAGTGTTTGCCACATGTATACAGAAACTGGAACCCAAAGAGGAAAAGCAATTTTCTGTAGGTCACCCAGCCCAGATTAGGAGAGGTGGGGTTCAAAGTCAAGTCCATCTGATCTTAAAACACTCCCCTAGACAGTCTCCATACTGGGGACTTTCAGAATGAATAAATGGAATTTAATAGGTTTGCACTTTAAATACCAAACTTCCTGAGCAGTCTAATTGCTGCTCTTTGGACTAAGAAGAAATGGCTGTTTAAAAGAAGCGAGGGTCAGGAGGTCAAAAGGAAAGGGGTGCTTTTAAATATCTATTTTAGTAAGGCAAGAGATATAATCCTGGGGGAAAAAAGTACATCCGATGGAGGCCATTATATGAATTTGATGACATTGTAAAGGAATGGAGAAAAGATAAAAGAGTAATGAATGTATAGTATTGAAGACTTTCTAAAAGAAAAGATCAGAAGTCACTGAAGGAGTTAGAAGTTGGCCCAGTTGAAGACAGGGTATGTCCATCTTCACAGGTGGAAGGACTAATGAGGCCCCAGTGGCAACCAGACATCCGTGACCCTGGGATCAGCAACCATCTGTTCTAGGTGCTCCAGTCAGTTTGGGAGAAGAGCAGAATCCAGAGCCAGATTGCTGGACTCAAATTCTTTCTCTCTGACTTCCTTGCTGGGTAACCCTAGACAGGTTAATTCACCTCTCTGGATTTCCATCTCTTTATCTGAAAAGGGGAAATCACAGCATTTTTTGCTTTCGTCAAGGAGAAAAGGGGTGAAGTGCTTAGCCAGGTACCAGGTGTTCAATGTGTACTCACACTATTGGTGCTATCACCTTGCAAACTACAAGAATTAATAAGTCAACAAAAATGCTTGAACAAATAGAGAAGTTAGGAGAGAGATTCCCTGCCCTGCTACCCCTGAGCCTCAGGAGGAGAAAGGGCTGGATGGTGGAGAAATCAATTCCAGGGAAAGACTGAGGTCCGACTGGGCTTGATGGAACATGGGAATTGGTTTCTGTAGAATACACAGTCTGATGAAAACTCACTCAAGGGGCAGAGGCTTTGCCAGTGACTTTGTGGTACTGGAGAAGAGGATTAGGCAAAGTGCCAAAGAAATGAGTTTGAGGCGAGAAGAGCAGGTGTGCAGTGGGCAGCTATACCTCCGATGCTGGTGGGTCCCAAGAGTGTACTGGAAGGGAAGGGCTCTTTTTAAACAAGCACATACTTCTTCTCATCTTCTATTTACAACCCTATTTCCTTTTACTGATTCTACTAAGGTCAAACTATAGTTGAGTTGATTATAGCTTATAAATAAGGGTGGGTAACTGTCCACTTCTTCAGCCACCATTTATGTAGCATCTTCTTTTTAATCAGGCTCTAGATGGGTTCAATGTGTGTGCATGCCTGTACATGCGTGTGGATGCCAGAGGACAACATCAGTGTCACACCTTAGGAGCCATCTACTTTGTTTTCCGAGACAGTGCCTCCTTGGCTTTGAGGCTCACTGATGTGACTAAGCTGCCTGGCTGGCTGGCTCGTGATCCCCAGGGGTCCGCCTATCTCTATCTTCCTAGAACTGGGATTACAAGGGTGTACCTTTATCCCTGACACGGTCATTACGATGGGCCGGGACCACATTCTGATCGTGAGTAGACCCTTCCTCTCAAACTCTTCAAGGTCTCAGAATGGAAGTTCTTGATGAATGCCCAAGCTGATCATTGTTTTAGTTTGCTGTGAAGGATTAGATTTTTTCCCATCTGATTTTGGAGAAAATGAAGAGTTAACTCAAGTTGTCGAAACAAAATAAGGCTTAGGACCTATCTAAGAAGTGGAACATACCAAAAGTATGTAATATGTAGTAAAGACAGTGAAGGGAGAGGAGCTTTTACAAGTGAACAGGGTAGAATGCTTCAGATGCATGTCCATGGGAACCTTTCCTTTGGGCTTGGGTAAAGTAGTACTTAGGCTCAGGGTTTTCTGGGCTTAGTTTTCAAAATGGCTTCATTGTGTCTGAACTCTGCTTTTAAATACTGGTTAATTCAGGTTTGGAGCTAAGTTCAGGGTCATTCTTCTGCATGGGCACTGTAGTCTGAAGATGGGAAGTTTCTGCTCTACAGTGTGATGGTCATCTCTCCCAGATGAAGAACCACCTCTAGCATTTTAACTTCTGCCCCTCTTACTTGAACTATAGCCAGTCTCTGGGATTCTAACAGGGGTCAGTCACCAGTGATCATGAGCAAGCCCAGCCATGTCACTCCTGTGTTTAAACCACCAACATTTTCTCATATAGGGAAGAATCAAATTCAAACCACTGCCGGGTGTAAGAGACCCTCTTCCCGTTTAGATGCCCCCCCCGCAATAAAAAAAGATTCCATTTGGTGCCTGTACGTCGAGTCTCTCATTTTAATCAGATTGGCCCAGGAATCACTTAGGCTTCCTGACCCCAGTCTGCAGCACGTGGCACTCTCCACCCACTTCCAATCTCTACAGCATAGGTTTTAGTTTTTCTTAGTGCTTCTCACTTGAGCTGGAGCTCACTTTATTTGGTTATTAACTTGCTCTCTTTGTGTGGTCAGGAGCTCCAGGAAAGTGAGCACTTTATCTGTTTTGATCGTTGCTATATCTTCATGTCCTACACCAGTACCTGACCTAGTAGATGCTCAGTAAATACTGGATGAAGATGTGAATGAATGAATGAAGGCCAGTGCTACTCAGCTCTGACTGACTGGCACTGTTAATTGGATCATATAGTTAACAGAATTCCTAATTCCTCAAGAGAAGCTAAAAATCACACTGTATGTGAATTTTTCTGGTGTATAAATGTTGACACATTACAACTGGATTTAGCATTCCCAAAGCAGACTGGCATCTCTGGTTTACCCTGGTATGGTATGTGCCAGGATCTGGGATCTGGAATGACAGTCCTACTTCATGGATACAGAGCCTAAGGTATCAAGTACTGTTCTTTACAAAAAATATTTATCATTTTTATTTTATGTGTATGGGTTCATTGCCTGCATGTATGTGAGTTTACCCGTTTTGTGCAATTCCTACAGAGGTCAGAAGGGGGCGTCAGATCCCCTGTAACTGGAGTTAAAGATGGTTGTTTGCTACCATATGGGTGCTGGGAATTGAACCCAGGTCCTCTGCAAGAGCAACCACTGCTTTTAACCACGGAGCCATCTCTCCAGCCCCAAGTACTGTTCTAACAGTAGCTTGGGAGGCTCATGTCCTTAAAAGGAGCCTGAGTGCCACAGCCCTCTACCAACTTGACTCTGTCTACTCCTGTCAATGCCTGTTTACTTACTGTGTACTATATGCATTTAAAGAAGCGAAGTGAGGCTGGGAGTGAGCTCAGAGATAGAACAGTTGCTTAGTATATGTGAGACCCTAGTTCTACATCCAGCATGCAAATATAT